CTCTTCAGAGAAAACGTATGACTACTTCTACCTGTTTGGCACTTATAGAAACTGAGAAGATACTACTAAAAATCCAAAATAGTTGTATCTACTGTTCCTCAAATAGCAGAGACAAGTGACAAGTCAAAGAAAAAAAGAAACAAACAAAAGCACACAATGCTAGCCAATAGGGATGTGCATGTGCAAAATATTTGTTAGGGTAGGGTTAGGGTACAGTATACCCATGCTACTGTTTCAGCTATACTGGGACTATAGTAACTTGTACAGAGAGGATCAAATAAAATGGTTTCAAAAGTGCTAGCACCACGTCAGACTTTTGATATATTAGAGAATAAAAGTGATGTTTTTTATTGTTTCTGAACTTATTTCCAGTCACTGTAAGATTACATATACAAATTTCAGCCAAAAGGGGTCTCTGTCAAGCCTTCACAAAAAACATTCAGGTTGAAACTTTGCCATGTCTTGTTATAGTGATTGAGTTAACTCTACAAATTGCACATTTGTTACTAAATTATTTGTTCACTCAGTCTGGGACTGACTTTGCACCTGATGTTCAAAATTGTCTCTTCTTACGAGATTGTCATGAAGTCCCTTCTTGAATACAGCCTAGCTCGTCCATTAATGATGTCTTTAATTAGTTATAAACTCAATGCTAAATCCTTGTGATGGGCTCTTAAAATTTTGTAGTTTGTTACATAGTTACATAGTTACATAGCTGAAAAGAGACTTGCGTCCATCAAGTTCAGAATTCCTCACATTTGTTTCTTGCTGTTGATCCAAAAGAAGGCAAAAAAAACAGCTTGAAACACTTGCAATTTTGCAACAAACTAGGAAAAAAATTCCTTCTTGACCCCAGAATGGCAGTCAGATTTATCATTGGATCAAGCAGTTATTACCCTACATTGAAAAATTATATCCTTGAATTTTCTGTTTTTGCAAGTATGCATCTAGTAGCTGTTTGAACATCTGTATGGACTCTGATAAAACCACTTCTTCAGGCAGAGAATTCCACATCCTGATTGTTCTTACAGTAAAAAAACATTTGGTCATTAGATCCTGCGATATATATCTATCTGTCTATAGCTATTTGGTATTCTATTTTTGTATAGTGATTATCCACATCACTACATGTATTTCCAGGAGATACATTGAGTCTTAAACACTTTAGGTGTTGTGACTATTTGTATCACTTTCTGTTTTTCATCATTGATATTGGGGTTAAGCCCCTAGAGACCCCTGGAGTCTCATCTCAGTACTTAAGATAGGTGAACACTCCCGGCACTGTCCCTTTGGGTATAGCTAGTAGAAAACAGAGATAAAAAATGGCGCTAAAAGTAATTATAATATATAGAATATCATATATAGAGAACCAGTGCAGCACACATAGATAACCACCCAAGAGTATAGTCACTGTATAACACTTACACACAAGGATAAAATGAAAGAGGACGGTGATTGCGCACACAGTAAATGATATCCTTAGTCTAGGATGAATTCCCTAGGTTCTGTAAACATAAAAAACCATCATAGGGCAATATATCTTAGACTTAAATAAAGTGTAGGAAAAACTTGGAAAACTCACAATATTTAGAGCCTTTCTGAGTTGGCTCTAAACTTTTAAAGCAGGTTTATCAATCTGGTGCAGATAACGTAGTATAGATCCCTTGGCAACCATCAAACGTCTTTTTTATATAGAAGTCAGGAACCAGGATGACCAGATAGATGAAAAGTAAATACTTTAATTGTAAAACAAATAGAAATATAGCACAACGCGTTTCGACCTAGTGCAATAGGTCTTCCTCAGGTGCATAACATAAGACAGTCAAACAACATTCTTATATACCTTACATAATAAGTATAATTACTGATAAAACGTTCACAGCTGTAAAGTCCGTCCTTAACTCCATATATGGAGTGTTTCCGGCGAGAAACGACCTTTATATGCCTCCTCCAAGACCTTTATATGCCTCCAAAGGGGCTTAACATTGATTTTGAAATTGGTTCAATTTTATAATTTTCTCTTGATATGTATGGTATCAGTATTCTCTATTTTATATGTATTTTATTATATAAAATTTTAATATTTATTCTTAACATTTATTTATTATTTTTAAGATATAAGATACTTATTTTCCTTGTAATTATATTATTGTTAGAATTTTTATAAGTCTATAAATGACTGGTACTTTATATAATCTTCTCTCTCTTTACCTCTCACTTTTTTGCTACAATGTATTCAAAATACGAACTGGGAATGATTTGATTGACACTCCCTTGCACCAACGATATGATCGCATGTTGTTTACGCCCTCTCCGGTGTCACGTGATCGGAAGCCGCACCACGTGACCGGAGTAAGACGAAACCGGAAGCAATGTAAT